AGCGAGTTTCTTCTGAGTGCGACATGGATTTCGGCGAAGTCGCTCTCGGATGATTTTAATGTTCGCAGGCGTCCTCACAGAGCGTGGACGACCACTTCTTTGCCGATCATGTAAAGAACTTGTCTCCTGGTATCGTTTAATAGTGTAATACATGAAGTTACGGCTCACACCAAAACTTTTCAGTTCTCGGAAAATGTCCATAGGTTTTCTTCCCACCTTAAATAATGAAATGACGGTCGCACGTAATTCTTTTGTTCCCTCCATTACGAGAAAATTTAAATAAAATAATCCGAAATCATAGATATTAAAAGTTAACATTCCAAATTCAAAATTAGAAAAAGAAATATACAGCAGCCAGTAATTTTTATTTTATTTTTATAAGCAAAAAGTTTGTCTCAAAACTTATGAACACACGAGGTAACGTAACTAACTAAAGTTTCAGATTCGCCTTTGTCCGATTCCGAGATTTCAAACCAATCTTAGATTCCAACTTTCGGAGTCGGAAAAACTTTAATAATAAAACTATTATTTAGAACTGAAGAAGAATTTGTTTGTTTGAACGCGCTAATCTCAGAAACTACTGGTCCGATTTGAAAAATATTTTTGTATTGAATAGCCTATTCATCGGGCAAGGCTATATATAATTATATAAGCTATAAGATAGGACATCACGCTATCTTCAATAGGCCATGAGCAAAGCGGGTGAAACCGCGCGGATAGTAAAGTAGCTAATTAATAATATTTACATATTGGACATAATAGTACATGCACCCAACAGCGCACTCTTCCAGTCATCTTTAAACTTGGTTTTCCCAATAATAGAAAACTGCGAATGGTGTACGTACATAGAGAATTAAAAATATATGTGAAATAAAGTATATATATTTGGATAACATTTCAACATTGTCTTTTTTATTACTGACTATTTAGGTTTACAATAAATATTAGAATACTGTAAAACTTATGCTATTTTGAAAATAACAGTTATATTATATGTATAAATTACAAGAGATACTAAAGTTATAGACTAAAGTTAACATATTTCTGGTAACATGTCATAGAATTTATATTGACTTTAACGTCACCGGAACCTCTTTGGACATATTCGCGATATATTTCGCGTGATGCTTTGGACACGGTCGGCGGAATAACGTCTACAGAACTGTCGATAGTAAACGCACTATTGACGGTCATCACTATGTGGATGTCAGACTTGTAGCGGGGATTGGAACGACGCTCGAAATTCACGTACCGGTTATACCTGAAAAGTGAAGAGAAGAAAAGTTAAAATAAATACAGAAAAACGTAATTCGAATTTTTATTTCTGGCAAGCATTCAGCCAGTAGCAACAAACTAAAATAGAAAGTAAGTAATTTTACTGGCAAAAACAGTTCTCTAACATAAAGTAAGCCATATTTTTATGCGTTTTTTTACGTTCTAGTTCCCAAATCATTGCCAAAAATAACTCACATGACTCTATCTCGTTTACTAGGCTCCTTCAAGGCGATCCTGTTAATTCTTTTGATGGCGGGAAACATCGGTGTATCTTCAACTTCTTTAGCTTTTAATATCTTCGCCACCATTGTGAGCGGTGATGGCACTGAGAACCGGGCGCTTGGAGTCGAGTTCGTCAAGTCATCATCAGTTGATGAATCGCCGTTTGAACTGTGAAGGAGGTTCAATTGTTATTTCATAAGAAGTAACATAGAATATTCGTCTCGGTGAATATGTGTCAGAATTATATGGCTTCAAGTCGTAAATATCGAATAGTTTGGATAATAATCCAATTAGGCTAATGACCTGTAAAGCAAACGTTACATTAATAAGTAGAGATCAGTAGAATGACTAGTATGCAAACTATAGTCCGCAACCGCAAGTCATCTTCGACCAAAGGGATTCAAAAGGGATGTACTTAATGAACCGCCTGCGGACGGTGTTTTAAAATTCTAGTACCTACCTACGATACAACACGCAGTCATCATTTTCTTTATTTTATTACTCTAGTTTTCATTTTTCTTGTAGGTACCTACTTGAAGAAACTAGCTAAGATTTTCAAATCTCGAGAAGAAAGTTTATCCTCCACCGACAAAGCATAATACATTTCTATCGCTAATCGTTACACATTAGGACCTCTAGCCAAACGCCACTTTAGCGCTTGTCTACCGAGGGAGTAAAAAAATCAACGGGGATCACTGATAAAAGTCAAAATTTACGTCAATTCCATACAATTTACTTTTCTCTTGTACTTGTCGATAAACGCGAAATGGCATTTGGCTACAAGCCTAGCCTAGAAAATATCTAATAGACTTACTCGCTAGAATTATTCGAAGTGGTGCTGGACCGGCCACTGATGACCGGGTTCTTGGAAGTGGGCCCCTTAGTCGGGCCCACACCGGACCGGCCGCGCACTACGAACGGACTGAAGCTTTCTGAAAACGTCGGGGCTAAGTCCCGAAGTGTGTGGAACATCTGCAAATTTAATCTCGTATGAATATTTGCACGAAAGAAAAGAAATGTCAGCCAAAGTCTCTAAAGAAAATAAAAGAAGAACGTACCAACTAAGTTTACTATTTGTTTTTTAGATTTTTATGTGTAAAATGGGTAGATATCAAAATGAACCGATTTACAATAATTGTTTATTAGAAAATAAAACTCACGTCAGAGATTTCATCGTTTCATTTCACTACCATACATAAGTAAACGAATGAGGAATCAGGTAAATCCTTACTAATATTATAAATCAGAAAGTGAGTTTGTTTATTTGTTCCGCTTTCACGCCGAAACTACTTACTAAACCGATTGCTTTGAATTTTTGCAGACGTAAAGTTATGCCTGGATTAAATAATAGGGTACTTTTTATCCCGGAAAAATTTGATAATCTAGAGGGAAAACGAAATTATTGGTATAGATGGCGCTGTGCGTATTGGTATATGTCACCTAAGCTACTTTTTATCCTTTTGTGACGCGAGCGAAGCCGCGGGTAAAAGCTAGTTCAATATATCTAATTATTATATATGTATAGAATATTTATTGAACAAGGGCGTAACGTAATGAGTTACGTCTCTACAAACGTAACAGATGAAATAAACAATAATTAATTTGAAGGTTTATAGGGAACACCAGATCAATTACCTCAAATAACTATTTGCCTATCCTAAAAGTATCCATGTAATAATACTCTCTGCTTAAAATGATTATTACCTTGAATTCAAAACACTCCATGAGCATGGTATATTCGAACGGCCTGTTGTAATCGTTGTAAGCGTCGACCATCTCAATAGTGTTGCTACTATCGCCCTGCATGCCAATGATCTCACAACACAGCTTCCTCATCTCGTTGCACGGCAGAGGTAAGTGTCGGACCACGTCATCATCCCACCATTTTGTTAGGGAACTGTGTAGAAAAAGCAAAATTATGAACACTGTTTTATATATTACATTTTATTAATTTGAAGAAAATAATTAATTCCTATGTATATTTAATGACGGCTAATATTTGCTAGCTGCGGTCACCAGATGGCCAAATTAATGTAACCCGAATCCTTAATTATCTGTTTGGTGAGGTAAAAGTTACAGGAGAGCATGAAAATTATAACCCCATTCACGGGTTTCAGTGTTGCCAATATTGTTTACATCTCAAAACGAAATTAGTCAAAAGATACTTTTAGAAATGTAGGAATACTTCTAAAATACATATATTTACCGGTTCCTAGGAATGTACACCATAGCTTCTGGATGGTGAAGATAGTAATCAGTCTGGTATTCCCAAATCGGTGGTCTGGACGGGTCTGGGATGAAAAGCCCAAGGAACAAATTCATCGTATTTTGTTTCTCTGTGTCGGAGAAAGTGTTGGAATAGTATCTACTCAGAGTTTGCATTATATCGTTACCGTGTGACGACCATGGCGCAGTCTTACGATAAGTTTTTATTCTGCAACAAAAATTAATCATAATATTTAACCGTTTATATAATTCAATTAGTTAATTATTAACCATTTTAATACACAGTACAGTTTCAATGAGAATTTAAAAAACGTATTGAAAACTAAACTAAAATATTATGTATGAGATGAGACATACCTGTGTACTAATTGCGACCCTCCGTATTGCAAAGCTAAAGTATCGCCGTGGTCTTCATATAGTCCTTCAAGAAGTCGGGCGCAGTCTGAATCGAATTCTATGTTTGGCTCTCCTATAAGCCCCAAGGCATATAACTGGAAAATAATAGAGTTAAATTACTTTAAATGTGGAACTGTTTGAGTGGCCGCAAGTGTGACTGTAGAACAGAGGGTCTCTGGTTTTATTCCCTGGTCAGGCAAAAGATTAATGCGACTTTTTCGGTAGTTTCTCAATAGTAGCACAAAGTCTGAAACTGTGCCCAATATATGGCAATAGGGTCACC